ATATATATATATATATATATATATATATATATATATATATATATATATATATATACACATGTTTTTACTATTTTCTTAAAATAAATTAAAACTGTTGTTTGATGAACAATAAATCTTCTTCAAACAGCAGTTTGAAGAAGAAATGCAAATGATTATAAAAAACTTTATGCTTACAAATCCAGTGCAACCTAACAATTGATCAACTACATAACTCTAAACTGTTCTTCTACTACATCAGTTTAAACAAGAAGAAATTAGTTTTTTAGGCTCCAGCAACCCTAATGACCCCAGCAGGGATAAACATGACGGAAAATGGATGGATGGATGGATCTGTGTTAAGTTGCACAGATCCAGTACAACTTAACAATTAATCAACTACATAACTCTAAGCTGTTCTACTATATCAGTTGAAACAAGGAAAAAGATTGTTTTTTTTAAAGGGAATTAAACTTTTATAATTAATCTAAAGGCCTTGGGAATAGCACCACCTGTTGGAATGAAGGTGTAGTGAGGTTTTCATAGGCTGATTTAAATGTCTTCAAGCTTTTCAAAGAGATGAGGACAGCAGACTGGACATTACAAAGGCATTACTATTTGAATTTTTTTAATACCGGTTAATGTGTTAGTCCAAAACAGTTTATTGTTTGACTTTTTTCATGCAATCCCCCAAAATTTAAATACTCTTTCTTCAGACAAAATGGTGAGCGTTCTATCCTGAATTTCTCTTTAATAGGGTTTTATTTCCAGTGAAAGCCAAAGAAACAGAACAGCACTGTCATGATGGGTGCTATTTCTAGCCCAAATGCAGAACACCAGGAGACAGAGGAAAAAGTTCACAATTTATTGGAGGAACCACAGGCAGGGAACAGATGCAGGAAAACAGATCTGGGGCTGGTCACACGGAGGTTTACAGTTCAGTGGTTCAGGCTGAGCGTCTGGAGGTGGGAATCAGTTGGGTCCAGAGACAGAGGGTTCAGCAGAGAGCTTAGCAGCGGCAGATCTTGGCTTCAGGCTAGTGAGGTTCAGACCTTGAATTGTTCTCCTAGTTCTCTCCAGAGAACTGGCAGGGAGATGCAGGCTGAGGTTCTTCTGGTTTGGCTTCTCAGAGCAGGCAGGCAGGTTTTCTCAAACATGAGCTCCACCAGAGTTCCAGGTTTCAGTCAGGATCGTGACTTATTCAACACTCTGGCGCTGAAGACAGGTCTGGCCGCTGCTTAAGTAGTTGGTCTCCTAATCAGGTGAATCAGCCTCAGGTGTGTAGGTGGCTTCATCTCAGGAGACCCAGGGCGCTCTCTGCTGGAGAAAGGTGGCAGATCTCCAGATCCCAACAAGCACATAAAATCTTTTGATCTAATTCCAAAGAATTTAGATTTCAACAGGAACATAATTTATTCTGCAGAACAGTGAAAACTTAACTACAACATCCAAATTTATCAATACAAATATTAAAGTACAATAATAAGGGCCCAGAGAAGTTTAGATTTTAATGTGGACAGATATTTTGGTGTCGTGTTAGAATGAAAGAAAACAGAAGTGATATACGTTGTAGCTCCAGGAACAAAGTAGGAGTACTAAATTAAAAATGAAATGAAGAAAGAAAAGAAGGTAAGAACCACAAACTCAAATCAACAATCAGAAAAAAAAAAACAACAGAAAACTTATTTTGGTTTACTCTGTAGAGTTTCAAGTCCTGTTAACCCAAAGTCCAGCATGTAGCGGCTGAGTGAATGTGGTCTGGACTCTGTGGAGGAGAGTCATGGTTTCAGAGATGCTGTAGAAGGACAGAATCCCTGCTGAGTGATCCAGGTACACTCCTATTCTGGAGGAAACTGGACCTGAGATGGAGGTCCACATGTTGTTGTGACCAAAATTTTAACCATCTTGGGAAACCTCTAATGCCCAAGATTTTTCACTCCTTCCAAACTTACAATCATTTCCATATCCTACTCTGCTGAGATTTTTGTATACGACTGCTACGGGAACTTTTCCTCCCCACTCCACCTCCCAGTAAGAACATCTATTTAGACTCTCTCTACTCAGAACTGACCACCAGGCAGTAAATCTTTCTGGGTGACTAGAATTATATATAGGCTGATGTGTCATCACTGTTACCTGTTCCCCTCTGATAACAGTTGTGTTTGTGCTGTGTCTGAATTTTGAGAATTCAGCTCTGGTTCTGGTTCTGATAGTAAAGCATCCATCTTAGTCATTGTCAAAAATCTTTTTGTCCATGTGTCTCTCATAATGTCCTGTAGTTTATCTCTGAGCTCTGACACAGCAGCTGTCACATCCTCAAAGTGTCTCAGAGGACGGATATTGATGCTGGATGAGTGTGTAGACTCACTGAGTGCTGACAGTGAGGGGTAGCTGTGGAGAAACTGGTTGTTTTTCACTGTAAGGAACAAAAGCAAACCTCTGAACCACTAACTGATGAAAGCACAAACATGTAGAGATGCTCCTTCTTTCTGAAGGTTAACGCAGGACACATTAGTCTGAAGCTCAACGTTTAGATTCTCTGTGCTGCTTGTATCTGCTTCATGCTGCAAACACCAAATCTAATGTGTGCCACTAACAGCAGATTAAAGGAAACATCTGTGAACTTTTCTGGCTTGGTGTTTTGTTTGTTTTTTACTTTATTTTGATGTATATTCATTTTTTTTTTTTTATTGAGCATCAGTGTGTACCACTGATGCTCTATAATACCACTGATGCTATATAATTTCCATACAAGAGGCATGATACTCATATTTATATTTTAACCCCCCCATCCCGACAACCGTTTGGACACCAATCTAGCAGGAGTAGATAGTTAAAAGTAATACAAAAATAGACAATAGCTAAAAAAATTAATAAATAAATAAAAATAAATAAATAAAATTAGATAAATAAATAAATAGGGGACATATACATATATATACACATATATACACATGTATACATGCACACTTACATATACCCGTACTTATACATATATAGATATATAGAATATTGATTAAAGAAAATAAAAATAAAAATAAATAATAATAAAATAAAATAAATAAATTATCATAATAATAGATGAGAGTAATGAAATATATGGATAAATAAAAAAAAAAATAATAATAATCAGTTTTACATACATATGTACATCCAGATATGCACGCACGCAAG